CCCACCACCCCGCCTCCGGCAGCCCGGCGGCCGCAACCCCCCCAGATCAGCTCCCTCCCCGGCGTTTCCCCAGCCAGGTTGCCCCCAGCCCCCCCCACTTGTGCCCCTTGCCCAACACCCATCCAGGCACCCCCTCCCACAGCCCCCCCCAGTGTTGGGGTCCCCCCTTGGAGCCACACCAGTCCTGCCCCAGCCCCTGCCAGTCCCCTTGGCCCCCCATGTGTGGGTCCCTGCACATGCGTGTGATCTGTGTGTACACGGGTGCCCGTTTGCATGTGTTTGCAGGGCTGCAGGGGGCACGTGGGTGTGATTCTGCAGGTGCCCGCGAGCGTGGCCATGTAGGGGCCGTGCCCTGGGACGCCCCTCGCCCCGTTTGGTTTGGCCCTTCCCTGGGGGCTGTCAGTGGACAAGGGGAAGGGGAGCCATCCCCTGTGGGGACCTGCTGTGGGTCAGGGAGGAGAGACCTACAAAAGTGGCCCCAGTGGCCCCCCAGAGCCCCATTTGTGAACCCTCTGCACGTCCCTGCCCCAGACTCACCCTGGCCCTTCCCTCCTGTGTTTTTTCCCTGTCAGTGCAGTGATTGCACTAATTGGCATTGGTGGCCCTGAGCGGCCTCACCTGGGATCCCCCATCCCTGTCACCTGGGGCTGGGGGGCTATTTAAGCTCAGGCTGGGGCTGCTGCTCCTTGCCTGAGCTGTGGGTACAGCCCTGGCCCCTGGACCTGGCTGGCTCCTGGACATGATGATGATGATGATGATGATGATGATGATGACGACGACGACGACGACGACACAGGCACAGGCTGGTTGGAAAGGGCCACCCTGTCATGGGGCAGCCCTGTTCCTGCTGCTCTCTCGCATCTAGACCCCACTGCTCGTGTGGGTGTGCTGGGTTGCAGCAAAGCCAGAGCCCTGCGTGGCAGCAGCACTTGCCAGCCGCATACCAGCCCCATGAGAATCTCCCTCTGGGTGTCTTGAGGGAGCAAGAGCGGGGGTTTTACAGATGGCCCTGTGGTCCATCTCTCCATGCCAGCATCTCCATGGCCTGAGATCCTGTTGAAAGGTGCTGCAGAAGAGCATCAGCCCCGCTGGTCCATGCGAGAGGGCAGGTACTTCTATTTTGGGAAGGCTCAGCCATGCCTTTCCCTTTGTGCCGGGTTCTGCAGAGCACGGGTCCCCTCCCAGAGCAGAGACAGGAAGGGATGGGGCAGCAGTGCCTGCTCTCTGCTGGCAAGGCAGTGCCGTTATTCCTGCCTTTGCTGGGGAACCAGCTTGAACTTTTTCATGTGACGGCTTCTGCTCCCACAAAAAGCGCCTGGGAAAATAGGCGAGAGGCCCACGCTGAGATGTGGCCTGCTTTTCCCATCGTCGAGCCCATGTGCCGCTGCCCGTGGGCAGGGACAGGCAGGCCGTGGCACGCGCGGGGCCGGGGGTGAGCGAGAAGAGGAGCAGATGGGCTGTGTGGGATGTGAGCGGGATCACTGCTGCGCTCCAGGAGGGTTTCCAGCCCGGCAGGCTCCTGGGGAGAAGCTTGAGAGGGGTCACCCTGGGAATGGCCCCGCTTATCCTGCACCTGTATCTGTACGGTGCCTTGCACCCAGAGGTGCTTGGCTTGGCTATGGGGTGGGTGGGAACTCTGTGGGGCTGGCTGGGGTTTGGGGGTGTGTGAGGGACCCTCCACCTAGCCCAGGCAGGAGGAGGGATGAATTCATGCCGGCACAGCTGGGCTGTGGGTGGGAGAGGGCAGCGCTGTGGCTCTGGGCACTGCATCTCCTTGGGATATCTCTGGCTTCCCCGAGGCTGCTGCTGGTCACACATCCCTGGGGGGGGGTACCAGGGACCTAAATGTGGGGGGGTGGGCAGGGGGGTGCAGGAAGGACCCCACCCTCATTCCCTGCCAGTGCAGGTTGCATCCTGCCATGGTGAGCTGGACTGCATGCTTGCCTTCCCCTGGCTCTCATCCCACCTTCGTTATCCGTCTTTTAGCAGCCACGTAATCTCCTTTCTCGCTTCCTTTGCAGCCTTTTGTCCGACACAAAGCTGGCTCCAGAGGGAAGAAGGGGCTGTGGGAGCAGGAAGCAGGTGGCTCTTCCTGCCCTGGCTCCTTAAACCTGTGCCGCAGCCCCTGAGCTGGGACACCTTGCAGGTGACACAAGGGCTGGGGGCCAGCCGTGACCCCCCTGGGGTAGATATGGGGCCGGGCAGGGGGCATGCAGCCGGGCTCCCAGCCGCAGAGGGGCTGGTGATGGAGATTGCGCTGCATTGCCCGGCCTCGGATGATGCCCTGGGAGCCCACCAGTGCCTGCCATGACCCAGCCCCACAGCTGGATGCTGCCCCTGAGCCCTGCACCCTTGGGGGGATTCGGGTGCTCTGATGGAGGTGAGGGGTTTCCCTGCAGTCGCTGATGCTTCAAGTAGTTTTACGGTGGAGAAACGCCCTGTGTGTGCGCAAGCGGCTCGTGGTGGGGCATGTGCTGCCCAGGCTCTGCCGGGACCCCTGGGCAGCGAGCGCTGGACTAGATGGGAGCACCTGGTGGTCCCCAAGGCCTGGCAGGGATGGGGTCGGTGGCCTGGCAGGCAGCAGCTGGATGACAGGGGGCTTGGAAGAGGCAGGAGGCATCAGCCACCAGATCCGGGGCTTTCCCTAGTGCAGGTCCGGGAGCCTGTCAGTGCTGTCACCCGGGGCTGGCCCCATGGGGCTGGGGGCTGCAGAGGCATGCCGGGAGGCCGGCTCTGGTGCCTCCATCTGTGCTGCTTCCAGCCCTGCCAAGAAACGTGAAATGGCACTTCTGCTCCGCGGCAGTGGCAGCCGTGGCCCCGGGGGCCTCGCCGAGCGCCAGCTCCCTGCTGCTGGCACCCCTGCTCTCTCTGAGCACCCGGCCCGGCGTGGGGGACCAGCGAAGGTCACCGACAAGGTCAGGGATGTCTCTCCCCTCGGCTATTGCCGCCAGCTCTCGGTAGCCAAGCGGCTCCCAGGAGGCAGAGCCCAGGTGGGGATGCCGCTGTGCGTGCTGCCTGTGCCGTGGTCGGGCAGCTCCTTTGCACAGGCATTTTGGGGGAGCAGAGACATGGTCCCGGGCTGGGTGCAGGCGGTGGAGATGGCCACGTGTGCCGATGGCTGTGGTGGCCCTCCTCACCGTAGTGAGGAGATGTTGGGGGACAGGGGATGGGCATCCTACTCGGCAGCTGTGCTGTGGGTGAGCCCAGGGCAAGCATGGGACAGTGCCTTGTTCCTCGCCCTGTGCTGTCCTTGCAGCCAGTGACGTGGAAGACGAGGCTGAAAAGCCCTCCCCCGAGGGAAAACACCTTTCCCAGGGAGGAAGGGCTCAGACCTTTGCAGGAGAGCTGGGGCCAGCCAGCAAGCTGTCACTAGTGAGATGAGTCTGTCTGTCTCAGTGCGCAGCCTGGCTTTGGGAAGAGGGTGCTGCTGAGGGGGCTCCGATTGTAAGCTGGGGCGGGTGGAAGAGGGATGGCACTGTCCCCATCCCTCACACGAGCTGCCCAGGGCACAAATGGGGATGGCAATCATCATCATCACTGAGCAGGTGGGGCACCTCCAGCATGCTGCGTGGGGCAGGGGCTTCATGGAGGGTGCTCTGCCCAGACCTGGGGCGGAGGGGAGCAGGAGGGTGGGGGGCTGACCCCGTCGCGGGGTGAACAGCCCTGTTGGGGTGTGAGGCTCCGTCCTCGCCTGTCACCACATCTCTGGTCACCATGACAACAGACAGGGAGGCAGGCGGAAGTGGGCTGGCAGCCCTGGGGGCTGTGGGTGGGGGCCATGGGCGCGGGCTGGCACTCGCAGGGACCCTGCAGGGTGGGGGGGCAGCTGGCGGGACACCTGGGTCCCTCCGTGGCGGGGAGGGCGGCTGGACAGGGCTCAGCCTGCGCACTGTGAGCTCCCCGCTGTCCTGTTCCGGACCAAAAATCCCTGGGGGGACACACAGTGGGTTCGGCCGGGGGCACAGGCGCTGCGGCATGGCCAGGCAGCCCCTGTGCCGGGCGGTTTGGCACAGCAAGGCTTTGGCTGGCGCTGAGCTGAGCGGGTGGGGCACGCTGCTGCCCAGAGCGGGGGCAGGCTTGCATGGCCGGGCAGCCCCTGTGCCGGGCGGTTTGGCACAGCAAGGCTTTGGCTGGCGCTGAGCTGAGCGGTTGAGTCACGCTGCTGCCCAGAGCGGTGCCAGGCAGGGCTGCTCAGCGGGGTCTGCATGTCCAGGCCACCGCTGGGCTGGTGGCCTCCTGGGGGTGGCAGAGACCCAAGAGGGGAGACATAGGGTAGGGCTGTGCCCCAGCATGGGGTGCCACCCTCCCCGTGTTCCTCCAGCACCGGGGATGCGTCCCCTGCCTCGGGCACCTTCAGCACCTGTGGGGACAGAGGGGAGTGGGTGGCCGCAGGTCCCTCTCTAGCTGTCCCTGTCCCCAGCTGACTGCTGGGCCCTGGGGAACGAGGCGAGCAGTCTCGGGGAAGCGCAGGCACCCACTGCCCTCCCCGGCCCACGCAGCCACTCGCGCCAGCAGCTCTTGGCATGCAGGGAGTGTGTTCCTGGCAGCCCGGCCCTCTCCCATCTGGTATTTATCTCCTTCCCGAAATCCCTCCTGCTACGGGAGGGATGCCTGGCTCTGGTGGCGATCCGGGCCCCACTGCTCACTCTGCAGCATGGCAGTCACCGTGCTGATGTGGGGAAGAGGCTGGGCTGAAAGATGGGGGGGTGGGGAGAGGAGGGGAAACCCCCACCCCAAAAATGCACGTGGGTCCCAAGAGGTTTCACTGGGTGCTCTGGGGCATCGTGGCTGGCTGCAGGCCCTGGGAGCAACACCACAGGGGCACCTTTGCCCCAGGCAAGCTCCCAGCCCCAAACTGGTAGCAACAGGGACTGCTGCCCTGGGGAGCGGGCACATCATCCCCTTGCCCCCCTCCCAACACTGCTGTCTGGCTGCCAGGGGCCTGCTAGCGCTGCCCCTCCCCACCCCAAATCCTGGGTGCCCCAAAGCTGCAGGAGCCAGGAGAGCCCATGGGTTGCCTGGGCAACTGCAGCCAGGCACTGATGGGGAGCGGTCCAGGGGAGCGGTTGCCATGGAGACCAGAGGAGCATGATCACCTTGGCAACGGTACTGTCCCCCCACCCCCTTCGGGGCTGTATCCTGAGGAGGTGCACCCCAGCCAGGGGTCTGCTGCCCACCACCCACTGGTGAGGGTACCCCCGGGCCGGCTCCCTGGGCGGGGAGGGAGGCAGCTGCTGGCGCGTCCCCCTGACTTCACGGCGCGAAGGAAGAGACGAGGCCAAGCTCGGCTCCTTGGCTTTATCACTCCACACACCACTGCAAGCCGCTCCCGCACCCGGTCCTGGCTGGGAGGCGGGCAGGAACGCTGAGTGCAGCAGGGGCCGGAGGCACAGGCAGGCTCCGGGGCACCCCAGGGCTGTCCTGCTGCTCCAGGAGGAGAGCGGGGACCCTGTGGAGAGGGATGGAGGGACGCTGTCCCCCTCCCCAGGTGGCAGAGCAACTAGTGAAGGGGCGTACTTCATTCCTGCCGGGTGCCCCTGGTCTGGGCAGTGGCTGTAGGCACACAGATTTGAGGGGGACGACAATGGTGGCACCGAGGTGTGCCACTGTGGTGGCCTGGGGGTCTCTGTCACGCCACCGTGCCCTTTGTGCCCTGCCACCTCTGGTCTTGCCCCCACCATCCTCCTCGCGGACAGAGCCACGTGCTGGAGAAGTCAAACAAGGGGAAAAGTCCCACATGGCTTTGGGGGAGTCAGGGCTGGGAAAGGGGCACGGGTCAGACAGCCGGCAGCCAGAGGAACGCCCCGGCGTGGGGCAGGCGACTCGGCTCCTTGGCTCAGGCACTGAGTACGTTTCCCCCAAGCCTTCACGTCTGGGCAGGGGGTCCCTCTGGCAGACAAAGGGAGGATGAGGAGGCTATAACTCCCCCTCATCCCAAAAACAGACAGGAGGGGAACACCAGGACCCTTCCCTCCCAACAGGAATCCCTCAGCTGCATGCGAGGGGACAGCTGAGATTTCTGCAGGCTCTGGGCTTGGCTTGGTTCACGCTGCCCCTCCCTGGGCCCCCCCACCCAGGGTGCTCTCAGGCCTGGTAGAGGGGCACCACACGGTCAATGGGCCCCCGGCAGATGGGGCAGAGGCGGGCAGGCAAGGCCTGGAAGCAGCGGAAGCAGCAGCAGATGTGGCCACAGCCCAAGAGGACGCACTCGCGGGGCCGCGTCAGGCAGATCACGCAGGAGTCCTCGGTCCCCCCATCCCCGGCCTCCTCACCGTCCGGCTCCTTGTCCTCAGGCTGCTGCTTGAGGCGGGCGCGGCGGTAGGCACGGCACAGGGCGTGCAGGAGGACGGCCAGGCCTGCCACGGCACACAGCAGGGCTGCACCCTTCCAGAGCCCACTGGCCGACTCCAGCTCCGCCAGCACCGTCTGCCAGTCCCCCAGGCACAGGAAATACTCGCCCCCCCGGGCCGGCGGCTGGAGGTGCAGGGAGCCGTCGGGGTGCAGGGCCAGCTCCCCGATGCCTGTCAGCCCGGCCCCCACCCGCAGCATCTCCTCTGTCTCCAGGATGCCCTTGGGCTTCTCCCCGCTCAAGTACTGGCCCAGCAGGTCGCGGAAGCCGTGGGCTGGCTGCTGGAACCGCTCGTACACCGTCTCCAGCGGCAGGCAGATGGCTCGGAGCGGACTCTCCACGCTCACCTGCGTCACCGCCTCGGTGTCTGGCGAGGCCAGCAAGAAGGGGACAGTGTAGACCTGCTCCGAGAGCACCCGCTCGCTCTCAGTCCTGAAAGCAGAGAGCGCAGCGCTGGGATGTGGAGAACGCGGAGGAACTCCGAGCTCCTGCGGCTGAGCCGAGGGTAGGGACTAGAGCCTTTAACCGAGCCACTTTCTGCCTCTCAAGCGGCCCCAGAGGACGGGAGCCTGGACCCACTGGTGCAAGCCCACCCCTGCTGTCCCCTCCCATCGCTCACCAGCTCCGGGCCAAGCTGTTCCAGATCAGCCGATGCTCTTTCAGAAGCAGTTTCTGGATCACGCCCTGCAGCCCCTCATGGTAATGGCTGGTCAGCGCAGCCTTGGCTGGCAGCACTATGCCTAAGAACCAAGGGATGCATCACGGCTGAAGGAGGAGAGCCCAGCCCCTATCCCCAGTGTGGGGCCGCAGGGTCTCCTTACCTTCCAGGGCAACGTAAGGCAGGCATCTCCCATCAGCCGCAGACACCAGTGCTGCTAAATCGTCATCAACCTGGAGCTTTGGGGCCTCCTGGAAGAGCAGGGACTGAGTGTGAACACGGGCAGGGGCAGATGGGCTGGCAGGCAGAGGGCGGGTCATGCAGGGCTTTGTGGGGATCTCTGGCAGGATGTGACCTGCGTGGTCCTGGGCATCGTGACATCAGTAGAGGACGCAGCAGGCTGCAGTCATCAGCAAGCTGCACCCAAATCAAAGGCTCTGGCCTGGGCAGTGTAGGGCACGGGGGAAGGGGCAGCGGGCAGGAGAGAGCATCTGAGGGACAGGACTACCTGTATGCGTGCCACGACTCTGGCTTTCTTCCTGTACAGGTAGTAGAAGAGGCCGGAGAAGGCGAGGCTGGACCCCAGACACAGCAGCTCCCCAGGCGTGATGGGCGGCGTGTCCATGGTGCCAGGCTCTGGCGGCACGCCTGCAAGGTGAGCGTGTTGGCTGCGGGACGGGGCAGTGTTGGCCCAGGGGCAAGGATGTCCTAGCGCCCCTGTCCCCAGGGCAGGGACGTCCCACTGCCCCTGTCCCCTGGGTGCTGCTGCCCTAGGGCCGAGCCTGCCCGTGGCCCTGGCTAGCAGTTCAGCTCCAGCTCCCACAGGTGCCTGGCAGCTCCAGCCCGACACAGCTCCCCTTGCCCAGCCTGGGTCCAGAGGCACCCAAAATCTTGCCCTGCGCCCAGGATGGGGCCGAGGCCCAGCACCCGTGACCCAGCCCGGGACCTGCACCCAGGGTCCCACCTAGGCCCGGCACCCCCAGTCCGGGCCCAGCACCCCCAGTCCGGTCCCAGCACCCCCGATCTGGCCCAAACCCAGCAC